GGATGACCTCCATAACACCCGCAAAGGACACCAATGCAGTAGGATTCCATACCACTCAATGTTTGTGAATATTCAACTAACCATGGACAAACACTCCCCTCTGGGTCCAGCACTCCTCTCCATGCCAACTCTACTTCTGGAACACCACCTCTTGGAATAAGAGCTCCCTGCTTCACTAAACCGTGAATAACATAGAGAGCACCACGAACGGAGTGCTCAGCTTCTTCAATCACCAATTTATTAGAACCAAGAACAACTGTAACTCTTTCCAGGGCTTGCCCAGCCTGTAATCTTGAGCAGTTTGCCACCACCATTTACATTGACCTCCTCAGCTAAATCAGCCAAACCCAGCATGATAGCAGTGATTTGGTCAATGTGAGCAACTGGCTTGGTTCTGCAGAACCAAACCAAAATGGAGAAAAATTTCGTTTGGTTCTATGTCACGGATAAAACAGAGAAGGTCAACACAGGCCCACAAAGGAAGCTTAACCCAACCTTACAGGAATTTATAGCTCTTCTCAGAAATCAGCAGAGGATACTCTCCAACCTCAAGATACCAAGTTTGTTCATGCCATCTCAAGAGTCTTGTGCCTGTGACTCAGCTGCCCTGATTCAAATAGGGAAGACCCCTAGGCAACCAATTAACTGACAAAGCCAAATAGCTTCCACATGTACCTCATAAAACTCCCTTGGTCTGTGAACAACTCGCAACTCATTGTTTCTGTTGCCTTGAGTTTCCCAGCTGGCACATCAAAGGCCTGGCAATAAATTCATCTTTCTGCTTTGTTTTATTCAGTATGCACAGTTTGGTTTTTGACAGTTGCAACTGTCTTACAAATAGCTGAAAAGTCTTATAATCAAGCATTTACAGAAGAAACCACATAAACATAGGTAGGAAGGGCAGAGATAGATATGAAAAGGGCTGGTCCTGCACCCAGGTACTGCACTGAGACTCGGGAAGGGGTCCCCACTGAGGAGCTGGGGTATCTCAACCCCATGCTGGGCTCACCAGTCCGGAGCACCAGTGCCAGGAAGAGGAGGCCATACAACATCTGGCTGTGAAAATCAGCATGGATTCTGTCCACCAGGGAGAGATAGGAGTATGCTAAAAACCCAGGTGCCCTCTTAAAGGGCTAGCATGCAAATTCTCTTTCACAGGCACTCAACCTGGGCTCCAGTAGAGTGGGGGGAGGGGAGGGGCAGCGGCGAAGGATTAAAGAAAAGACAAAGAGAATATAGCTGGGGCTCGGTGGATCTCCTGTGCCTGGATGAGGCCACAGAGAAGGATCCAGCCAGCAAGCTGAGGCTTTATTTTATAGTCAGAGACAAACAAGGTTGTGGTCAACATAGTTACAATGTTCTTGTGAGTTTCACTTGTTTTGGCAGCACTTGCTGCACCTCCCACAGCCCACTAGCTACCTAGGAAGGATCTAGGGCAGCGGTTCTCAACCTGTGGGTCGTGACCCCTTTGGCGGTCGAACGACCCTTTCACAGGGGTCGCCTAAGACCATCCTGCATATCAGATATTTACATTACGATTCATAACAGCAGCAACATTAGTTATGAAGTAGCAACAAAAATAATTTTATGGTTGGGTTACAACATGAGGAACTGTATTTAAAGGGCCAGAAGGTTGAGAACCACTGATCTAAGGGGAGGCCATAAGGTCAAGCTTAATTATGCTAAGAGGGCTCTGCCCTCTAAGCTGGGACTTGTTGGTGGCTCTCCACAGGTCAATCTGAGGCTTAACTCTAGAGCAGTGGTTCTCAACCTTGGCTGCACATTCGAATCACCTGGGAATCTTTTTAAAATCCTGATTTCTGGGCCTCATCCTCCGGAAATTCTGTTTCTTTGTTATGGGGTGGGGCCCTAAGTAACTCCTAATCTGCTTTCTGTCTTTATGGATTTGCCCATTCTGGACATTTCATATAAACAGAATCATACAATATGTGACCCTTTGTGTCTGGCTTCTTTTACTTAGCATAACGTTTTCTAGGTTCATGTGTGTATTAGCCTGTATCAGTTCTTCATTCCTTTTAATTGTTAAATAATATTCCATAGTATGGCTATTCCATGTTTTTGTTCATCCCTCCATCAGTTTTGAACATTGGAGTTGTCCCATTCTGGGCTGCTGTGAACATTTGTGTTCAAGGGTCTGTGTGGACATATGTTTTCATTTCTCTTGGGCATAGACCTAGGAGTAGGAGGCCACCTATTACTGGGGAACACATGAAAACAGTGACCTCTGCTTCATGGTTCCTGATTTATGATAAACTTAAGTGTTCACCAGTGGTGTGTTGTTCAGATAACGTGGTCCAAATATGGGTATTGTGTGGCCATACTCCTCACACAAATGCTCATACCATACATATATTTAGTTCATATTTATTTAGGTGGTTAAATCAGAGCATCATTCCTGATCCCCTCTCCTCACTAGAGGGTCTGCATCCTTTTTACAACAATGCAAAAATATTAATTTCACTTCTTTCACCAGAAATGGCCTTGAATCAGCTCGCTGTGGAAAATGACCCGTCCCAAAGGCCAGCCTACGTCCAGCCAGGCCCCGTCTAGAGAATGAGGGGTCCATAATATGCGTTGACAAGTGGCCAATTCCCTCCTATCATAAGTGAGAGGGTTGGGCCCCTTGTTCTCACAAAGGATCCACAGAGATTAGACTCACTGAGAGCTTCCCTCAAGTTGCCTTAGCAGAAGGCCTGGCCCACTTCAGTCCTGCCCAGCGGAGCTCCGGGGGAGGGGCCCGAAGGATCTGTATTTTTAACCTGTTGCTGACCCAGCAGCCCATTTGGGAAATGCAGGTCTACAACTCCCTGCTCAGTCAGCTCTCCTGGACTTGGGGGAAAGCCAGGTGAAGTGATATGGTCCCCACCCCAACCTCAGTTAATCTTCTAACCTATCAGCTGGGCTTGCTTACTCAAGATTTCAAGTGTCCTCCTTTGAAAAGATATTCAGCCGTTCACAGGCCTCAGTTGGTCTCGAGCCTTTCCCATTGCCTCTCCGTGCTCCTCCAGGATCTCTTACGGGGCCTGTGGTCACCCCAAAGCCTCGTTGAGAGCTCCTCGTTAAGCCCCTCCTCCCCCTAATCACCCTCCTTTCTTCCTCCCCCTTTTCCAAGCCCCTTTCAAGGCCTTCATGGCCTCAGGAGGCCTCTCCCACAGAGGTGCTGAAGGGAGCTTGTTAGGCCAGATCAGCTGTTTTCAAAGAGTGGTCCCCACCTGAGGGTCCCCAAAGTCAAAACTAATTTCATGATAATAATACCTTTTCTTTTTGTATGTGTGGCTTTTTAGATGCTCATTCTCTCAGGAGTTTTCTAGTGGAATGGGTTAGTCTCTGTTCTTGTTTTACAATTTTTCTCAGTTTTAATTACTAATAATAAATATCCACACAAACACAAAGCTCTTTGGGGTCCTCAAGTTTTAAGAATATAGAGGGATTATAAGACCAAAAACTTTGAGAAACCTGACCCAGATGGTTTTCTAATTGGTGATAATTACTAATTACTCATTTGATAGATGAATGAGGCTGCTTATGGAGGGGAGGAAATGGGGGAGGAGACAGAAGAAAAAGGAAAGGAATGGTTTCGGGAAAGGAATGGTTTCGGGAAAGGAAGGAAGGGGGTGGAAAAGGAAGAGAGAGAGGAAGAAAAGGAGGAGCAAGAAAGGAGACAAGGAGAGACGTGGGATAGGAAGAGAGAGGAGGGAGAAGGTGGGAGAAGGGAGGAGGTGAGAGAAGGGAGAGGAAGGTAACAGGAAAGGGAGAAGGGGAAGGGAGGATGGGTGGACAGACAGAACTCCGAAACAGGGAATTGACCCTATTGAAGATGTGCCAAGGCTGAGCTAGGTATATGCTTTATGTATTTCAGTGCTGTCCCATTTCATAGATGAGGACACTGAGGCTGGGAGAAATTTGGATGATACCCTATATCCTGTAAAAGGGGTGGAGCTGGGTCTGAACCTACGGTCACATCCTTTGTCACCATGCTGTCCCCCTCTAGCTTACAGATGAGTCCTAATTGTCAGTGTGCCACCTTCTAGCCAGCTGGCCAAACAACTATGAAAGCCCAGAATGCAAAGGCCTTTACAACCTGTGCTGCCATTAAGCTACCTATAGTCCAGGGGAGTGGAGGAGGCCAAGGGGCGGGAAGGGGAGAGGGGATGTGGAGTGCCTGCCGCTGGGTCTTTCCGGAGCAGCTGCCTGGTTTCAGGTCACAGGCCTTTCCCATCAACCCCCATCACTGCCCACCTCCTGAGGTGACTCCCCCTGGGGGGTGGGGTCCGAGGCTACGCACACAGGGGCACATTCATTGGGCCTCTTCACCACAATCAGTTTGCTGTGTTTGCCCCCAGGTCCTCTAAAAAAGGACAAACTGGTTGAAAAACTCCACTTGGCATTATTTTCAATATGCAAAATACAATTTATTCCTTGGAGTTTACCCTCGAGTGTCCATATAGTGTAGTACATTCCCAACCAAGTATTTCATCAATAAATACTAAACAGCACACACTGTGAGATGAAGTACTTACAGGGGAGGTGGCTTACTGCCCACGGGGTGAGTATTCTACAAAATATTCCCATAGGGCCCTTACAGTTGTTTTTTAATTGGAAAGTTATGGACTATTATGCGCTGAAGATGTGCTCTGCCTATGACTTTCCTGTGCAGAGGCAGGAAAGGGTCTGTGGGAGAGAGCTAGGGGATGCCGTAACTAGGAGACGAGGGGCAGTCTGGAATGTTCTAGGAGTGCAGCTCAGGGGTTCCATGGACACACTGCGGGACCTGCCCCCTCAGCAGCTGGGTGGACCTTGCGCCCATTTCCCAGAGCCCCTGTCCAGGCGGTCCCCTGCGGGGGAGAGAGAAGGTGGCTGGAAAATGGTCCCCGGGGACCATGTCCTCTTCTTCCGTCTGGGCTCTTCTGAGGCAAGCGGGAGCCTTTTATATTGCTCTCTCACCAGGGCTGTTGCATAGTAAAACCCTCACAAATGACTGAATATAACCATTCTGTTTATTTTTTTAAAACGGATGGGAAAGATGGCCTGACTGGTCCATTATGACACCTGAACAAGTAGATCTGAGGGTGGTCCTGCACCCCCAAGGTTACAGGTGCCAGACCCAGGCTTACCCGATGGCTGTGCCCACTCTGGAAGGGCCTCTCTGAGCAGCAGGGCCTGGGGCTGGGCCTGCAGAGCCCGAACTAGCCCAGGGAGAAGGGCCGGGCGGGAACAGGGCTGAGAGGAGACTGGAGATCCAGGGGATGCAGCAGACACAGCCCTTGGGCACTACAGGAGCCACCGGCAAGCCTCACCCAGGAGTGATTTCTGGAATTTGAGGTGACTTTTTACTTCCCTAATGCATGCCATCTGGATGAATAAGGGATTTTCTAAAACAGAGAATAAGCCTCTCTATACCTTTAGAAACAAAATAAAACAAAGGGTCTTGTAACAAAGCACTTGGTATCTTCCAGAAGGAATTGCTGAATTTTAAATAAAGACAAGATATCTTTTATGTTCTTTTTCTCAATATAAAACATTACTTTTTAAAACCTAGCAATTAATTTGTATATGCAATTACATCCATAATGCAATAAATATGAGTATAATGGATATGGACAAGATCCACTTCAGGCTGAGGGATGCCACTAATCCTCACATGTCTAATACTAGTGAGAGGCCTTGAACTAAATGTGCTGTCCTGTGTTCCCACACAGAAAGGTTTTGTTTGCTCTGAGAAGCATGTGTCACAAACAGCGTTCAGCTTTTCCCTTGGAAGAAAATGATCTGTCCACGTGATAACACTCCTATCACATCATCACATGATTCATAAGTTAAACCTCCTGTCCATCTTATGCACACCTGCTTCATTTATAACAGTTCACACAGATGAAAATGTTTTATGTGAAACAAGACAATATGATGCAAGACTGGGAAATATACTCTTACAATAAAAACACATTTTTAAAAAAGTGAATCTGTCTAATTACATTTGGAATGGGAACTTCCTCCTATCACAGATCAGTTACCACGGCCCTCCTCCTACAGCCACTAACGTCAGCACTTCCGGGGGAAGGCCCAGTCACAGCGCACGCCGACAGAGACCAGGTTCTAAGGAGCTCCAAAACAAACCTGATTCAAAGAAGCAGTAGGAAATACATTAGATGCTGGATTCTGTTGGTAACTGCATGAATTGAGCTGAGTATAATTAAGAATAACCTTAAAAATGAATAAATTTTAGCCTGGCTCGCGTGGCTCAGTGGTTGAGCATTGACCAGGGTTGTGGGCTCAATCCCCAGTGTGGGGCGTGCAGGAGGCAGCTGATCAATGATTCTCTCATCATTGATGTTTCTATCTCTCTCTCTCCCTCATATATTTTTTAAATGAATAAATTTAAAAAGTGCTCAAAATGAAAAAAAACAACAAAAAATCCCCCAGCAACACTGTACTTGAAGGTGCTCTCCTGGTGCTGAAGGCTGACAGTGGTACTTTTGCAGGGGTGGTAGTTTTAATAGTAATACTGGAGACGTTTGGTGACCTTTCAGCCAAGTTGTGATAAACTCGAAAGTCCTCTAGAAGTAAGATCTATTTACATGTGGCGATTTCAAATTCTAACCTCAGGTACCTAAATGCATATTGTGAGGAAAGGATTAAGCCCAGACCTGCAAAGACACAAACAGATAATTGTTAGTTTCTTTAGTACTTAACAACTTACAAAACCTGAGTTTAAAGGGATAAATCAAAGTCTCTTTATTCACACACACACACACAGTAGATGGAAATACTCCATCCAAAATAGAGCACTTGCATGTCTTGGAAAATAAAACACTTTCCTCTTAGCAGCTCATTTGTTCATTTGTTCATTCATTCAATAAACAGTGATTTAGTGCCCAGGTGTATCAGGTACTGTGCTTTGCCCTGAGGATTGAGAGAGGAGAAAGGTGCATGTTTGCACCTGATCCGCCCCCCCCCCCGTTAGTTAACTGTCTAAGGGCATCTGTGGCCTCCCACGAGGGACTGGTAACTCTTAGATTGGCAACAGAAGCCATCTGTACCCAGACAGCTCTCTGAGTACATTAACACAACTTTACTAATTTAGGCAACTCCTGACCAGGAAGATGAATGAAGTCACAAATAACTTTATTGTTTGTTTCAGGAACTTTGCAAAAGTCCATTCACCCCTTTATCCTACGAGTATGAGTCAAGTATCCTCTTTAGAAGAGACACTTCTTAGAACAACACAGAGCATCAAGGGACTGGTCACTGTGAAAGCCCATCTTCGAAATCCTCCCCTCACCCCAGCCTGTGCCCAGCAATCTTAAACTCTATGCCACTAAAGTCCCTCCATCAAAAGATCTGCCTCAATCCCTAAAACCTCAAGGATCTGCCTTTGCTCTCCCTCCTAAGACACTACTGAGACGGTCAAGTTTGTGGTGTTCCACACTGTGGTGAGCTTTGCTTTGCAAATAGTATTTCTGGGGAGCCAACACCCAACAAAGTCTTGGAGCTTTTTGAGAATATTAAAAAAAAAAGCCATGAGGAGGACACACACAAAATCTGGCATATACTTTCAGGGGCTTCATGCCCTCCTAAAGCCCCTCTGTTGGTTTCATAGGGGTCTGTGACCACAGAAGAACCCTGCAGTTCTAGGAGGTGATATTGGCAATCTGTGGTTTGTCAAAGGCTAGACTCAGAAGAATCAGATTTTTAAGGTGAAAAGAAACCTTTTGAATCACCTAGTTCAGCTATTCCCTCAACTACATGCATGAACACCTGTGTCGATGGGGAACTCACTACCTCCCAGGCCACTCATTCCTTCTGTGGCTCTGAGTAGAGCTGAAATCTGAGCTCCATGTAGCTGTCCGGGCCTCTCCTAGCTCACTCGGACTTCTGCTTTCAGGAAGGCCAATCACTCCTCTTCTCACACACAGAGTAAAATAGAAAGTCTCCTCGCTTACTCTTAGGGTGTGATCCCAGGATCCTGAGCAAAAAGCAGTCCCATCAGGGGAAACTCGTAGAGTACTGACACGGTTTTCATGTCCAAACAGGATGGAGACTCGAGCCCCCTTGAGCACATCCCAGACGTTGATGGTATAATCATTGTATCCAGCAAACAGCAGGCGACCTGGAAGCAGGAGGATGTGATAGTTATTAAACCAGTTCCTTCCTTCCTTCCCATTTTTCTTTTTCATGACTCTCGCTTGCTTGCTTGTTCATTCATTCATTCATTCATTCATTCGTTCATTCCTTCAATAAACAGTGATTTAGTGCCCCTGTGTGTCAGATACCGTGCTTTGCCCTGAGGGTTCAGAGGAGAAAGCACAGTTGCTGCTCCTGTGGAGGGTGGTCCTGGTAGGCAGACACATAAATCATAGCACCATGTGAAAAGGGCTATAATGGAAGCGCTCAGCTATGTATCATGTGCTATGCCATCACAGAGGAAGGATCAAGGAAGACATTGCAGAGGAAATGACATCTGATGGGCTCTTGAGGGGTGAATAGAAGTTTGCCATGCAGAGAAAAGATGTTTCAGGCAGGAGTAGCTGCATGCATGCATGAAGGCTCAGGTACAGAATTGGGGGAGTGTCTGGGGAAATTGAATGGTCCAGTGACTGCTGCCTTAATGTTCACTAGCAGCCTCCTCAGCTGGGAGGGCAGAGGTGCCATGAGCTTCAGGACATTGAGAAAGGTCACCCACCCTCCACCTCTGAAAAAAAGTCCTTTTTCAGGTGTGAAGGGAGAATGGAAGGCTGGGGAAGAAATGCCTAAAGGCCCTTCATATGTGAGTGTTTGTCCATCTCTGCCTTGAAGAACAGTATTAGATGGGCACAGCCTTCATTTCCCCTGAAGTGACTGGGGCTGGGGGCAGCCGCTGAGGGCAGGGCGAAGTAGGGCTCACACAGCCCGAGGGGCTGGAAGGGGGGACACGGAACTGGCACAAAAGGGGACTATTTGGCATATGGGCCCACAGGAAGTTTAGCTGAGGGGCCGCTTCACAGAGAGCTGGGTGTCACTTAGGTCCTGTTTTACAGTCCTGGGAAAGTTTCTGACATAAAATCTTACCACTGAGGGAGAAGTCCACGCTGGATGCTCCAAATATGATACTCTCCTTGGAATAGATGGCGACCTCTCTGTCTGCCCGGAGGTCGTAGAGGCGACACTGGGGTGCAAACAAAGAAGCACTTACTTCTGGCTCCAGTTTGGTGAGGCGACACCACAGAGCCACCAGCGGTGCCAATGGCTTGTGTAGTTGGAGAGGTAAGGGAAACACCTCTTACGTTTTCTCTCCTAGTATTTTCTCCCTCAATCCCGATTCCTTTTCATCTCCAATGGAGACTTAAAGACACAGCAAATATAGAAGATTTCTTCAGGTAGAAAACCAAAAATGAAACCCAGCCTTTTTTTCTGATGAAGGATACATGTTCATTGTAGAAAATTCAGAAAAACTCAAAATGCATAGAAAATAAAAGTCACCCCAAATCCTAGAGGTATTGACTAAATCTTTTTCCTTCAGACTTACTTCCGTTTTATGTGTGTATTAAAAAAATTAATAATGAAAAAAAATAGGGTGGATGTTTCATTATTACTTTTCTCATTATGTTATGAGCATTATCTCTTATCATTAAATAATCTTCCAAAAAAACAACAATTAACGTGGTTGTTAGTCTTCATGTAGATATATCAGAATCTAGCCATACCCTGTTAAAAAGATGTTTGTGTTTATTTTTTCTCTTTTATAATAAAACTAGAGGCCCGGTGCACAGATTCACGCACAGGTAGGGTCCCTAGGCCTGGCCAGCGATCAGGGCCCATCAGGGATGGGCCGATCAGGGCCTGCCAGCCAGGGGGAGGGACAGGGCGTGGGAAAGGGGCTGCTTCCACCACCACCCAACCTCGGTTCCCCATCCCAGCCAGGGGCCGAAGGCCCCGGGCAGGGTCAGGAGAGGAGGCAATGGTCGCCGGACTAGGCGCGGAAGGAACGGACGCTAGATGCTGATGCCACTGGCCGGCTGTGGGAGGTTGGCTGTGGGAGTGCACTGACCACTGGGGGGTAGCTCCTGCATTGAGCATCTGCCCCCAGTGGTCAGTGCACGTCATAGCGACTGGTCGACCGGTCGTTCCGTTGTAATGGTCGCTTAGGCTTTTATATATATAGATTATCTCTCATTCTTATGTAAAAATCCCTGATGTTCTCCTTATAATAGCTATGGAATAGAATCTTTAGGATAGAATTATTTCCAAGAAATAGCATGCCCAGATCAAAGGGTAGAGATATTTTGAAAGTTCTTCTATCACAGAACTGCTTTCTAGAAGGCTGGTACCCAGGGTCCTGATCAGGCTGGCCCCAGACTCCTCGCCACACCACCTCCACCGGAGCATTTCTCCTGCAGCTGAGCATCTGATCATTGAAACTTGCATTTCTTGGATTAGAGGTGATTTTGGAAACATTTTCAGTTTATTTGCTATTTTGGGTGTATTGCTTTATAAATAGTCTGCATTCTATCTTTCTTTAAAATTGGGGTATATTTCTTATTGATTATGCCTCCCCATTCATATCTAAAGGATTTCAACTTGGCCCGGCATACATGTAGCAAGGATTTTTCCAAAATGTATGCACTTACATTTGGTTATACATTTTTGACATCCATAAGTTAAATTTTTATTATTACTCAAACTCTCAATCTATTCCTTTGTAATTTCTTCCATAGTACTGAATCAGAATCAAAACTATGATTACTATTATTTAATAATTTATTTGGTATTTTTAGGGCACAAGAAGGTATTTCTTTTAAAAACAATCAGTGAACATAATTTTTTATTTAGTATCAAAAGCTTTAAAACTAGGTCTATTTTTTAAAAATATATTTTATTGATTTTTTACAGAGAGGAAGGGAGAGAGATAGAGAGTTAGAAACATCAATGAGAGAGAAACATCGATCAGCTGCCTCCTGCACACTCCCCACTGGAGATGTGCCCACAACCAAGGTGCATGCCCTTGACTGGAATCGAACCTGGGACCCTTGAGTCCGCAGGCCGGCGCTCTATCCACCGAGCCAAACCGGTTACAGCAAAACTAGGCCTATTTTTAACTCAGTAAGTTCATGTCTGAGAATTCATTCTACGGAAATAATGAGAGGCTCCAAAAATACTTATAGCAGTGTTTTTAAACAGGAAAAAAACACATACCTTGAAAACCTAAATGTTCCCACATTGAAGACTGGCTAAGTAAATGATGGTTTGTCTATAACATGGGAAACTATTCAATCATTAAGAAAAAATAATACAGAACAATGTTTACTGGCATAGGAAAATGTCCACAATCTATTAGTAAGTGAAAAAAAGCAAATTTTGTTTAACAAGGAAAGAGACAGAAAGGAATTCATCTAATTGTGATTTTTCCTGGGTTGGGAGATTAAGGTAATTTAATTTCTCCCCAAGATTACTTCAAAGAATACACATTATTTTTGTAATCAGAAAAAAAAGTTATTTAAAAAAATAAAATGAAGGCAGCACACCGCTCTCTCAAATAAGAAAGCTCTCAATGACTTTGAAACATACCGTAGCATCATCTGATCCTGAGGCAAAGGCATCTCCGCTCGGGTAGTACCTGCGGAGAGGAAGTTGGGGAGAAAGCACTTTAGAGTGGTGACTCCCAACCCTGGATGCCCGTCACAACCATCTGGGAAGCTGTCCCGTGCTAGGCCCTCGGAATCAGAATCCCCACTTCTAGGGACATAAGGACCATTTGTTACAGAGGCCAGAAAGGGAAGCTCATCCGGCAGACCCACTGGCCTCTAGTTTTCTTCCCTGTCGACAGGGGACAGTGGCATTGGCCTTGCAGAGTGCTGGTGAGGAGTAAATGTGATAATACGGGTATCTGTCCCAGGCATGGAGCACAGAGCAGGTCCCCGGACCCGTAGTTTTCCTTGACCACATACCTCATTCCTAAGACACCCAGAGCTCAGGGATAAGAAAATGGTTATAAACACAGAATCAGACACCCAGAGCCACATGCAGATCCCTGCACTGATCACTTACTGCATGGGATACTTGTGCAAAGTGACTTCACCTTGCACAGCTCAGCATATACAAAGAATGTGGCATGGTGCCAATAAAGAGCTTTCAGTAAGTAACGATGCTTTCTGTCACAGTCACTCTCTTTTCTATAATCCGCTTCCCGGAGAGAGGCAGGCCTCAGTGGAGACCTGGTGGACTAACAGCCATCAGAAGAAGAGGGTCAGGGCAAAGGCAAAAGCATGGGTGAGAGACTGCGCCTTTTTAAGCTGTATCTCAACATAAGGGTTTACTTGATTTTTGTGGATATTCTGTCCTGGACCTTAGTAACTTCATTTTCTATCTGTAGTAAATTCTGGATTGATTTTCTTTGATTTTCTAGGTAATTGCTACACATTTGCAAAATGTAATAGCCTTTTTCCTTTTATCTTATTCCATATTTGAGGGCAGGGAGCTAGACAATTCTTACTAACATTTCTACTACTAATGTAATTAAGTTGTCTCATTTTGTTCTTGCTTTTAAGGGGAACAAGCCTAGTATTGCCCACTAAGCATAATGAAGATTCCTGGGTGATTATAATATATATGCTGTCGGAACAGTGTCACCTTCCAAATTTATATGTCAAGTACTGACCTCTCTCTTAGGATCCAATTCATAGATCCTGCATGTCATTTGGCCCTTTTCATGTCATCCTGTGGAATTTGGGCTCAAGTAACCAGCACAGAGATGCTGACACTCTGACTATTGCCACTGCTCTGAGTAATAAACTGTCCTTCATCTCTGACCCGGGAGTCTCATGTCTTCTATCTACCAGCAGCCATGAACTTGTGATAGCCTAACTTGATAGTTTGCAGGTTGGGTAAAACTTCAGAACATTCCCAATTCTAGACAGTTCTGTCTCTATTATGCTTTCTTAGTTCCAGCCGCCATCCTTTCTCTCTTGATCTCACACAACTTCTTTCTAACCGGCTGTCACACTTCCTTCCATTCTTGCTCCCCTATAACCTGTTCTCCACACAGCAGCCAGAATGATCTTTTAAAGGCAAAACATGGATCATGTTAGCCATCCTCTCCCCCAACTCAACAATCTGGCCTTTTGTTAGGTCCCTGAACATCTCATCTCCCCCCCAGCTCTTTGTAAGCCTGGCTCTTGTATAATCCTGGCCTCAATTTAAATATCATCTCCTCAGAGAGGCCTTCCCTGACCATTCTAAGAAACAACCCATCCCATTACATCTCCTTGTTTTACTTTTATTCATAGCACTTATCAGTATCTCAAATTAAATCATACATTTGTTTATTTGTGCATTGTCTTGTCTCCTGCAGGAAAGGAGAGACCTTGTCTATCTTATTCACAACTGTATTCCCAGTTCCTGGGATAATGTCTAGCCTAGAAGTACTGAATAAATATTTGTTGAATGAATGAATGAGAGATACTGACTCAATAGGGAGGATAACACCAGTGCCCCTGGTACAATTATATTAAAAGGTCTCCAAAAGCTTTAGGGCGCTATTCCCACCACAGATCAGCCATTCTTGCTGGGAGGCCGCTCAGCCCAGTACACTGAGCCTGGAGGCGGTGGTGGGCTCAGGATCACCCCAGGCCAGGGAGCCCAGGAGAACAGAGGAGTAGCTGAACACCCTACTCACTGACCGGACACTGTTGACGTCTGATTCATGAGTTTCAAAGGCCTGCACGCACTGGCCGGAGCGCATGTCCCACACCATGGATTTCTTGTCACATCCCTACAAATGCAAAGTTACCAAGAGTTAAGGCCGCTGCAAGGACTGCCCACAGACAGGCATGAGTTCCAGTTATGTAACACAGACCATTTATGTCGGAGACCAGCTTTGCTTAAGGCCACTTGAACTGATGAGCCCTTAGAAGGCCAGAACTAGATCTTGGATTGGGTGGGGGCCAAGGGAAGGACCCAGCTTCCCCCTGTAGCATGTTTTCTTTGGCAGCTTTCTGAGTGGGCACAAACTGTCCAGAGCCTACGTCCACCTTCCCCATGGCATTTCCCATGTCTTCATTGTTCCCTTTCCTTCCTCCTCCCTCTATCGCTGCCTATCTAAGCCCAGAGGGGAGAGCAGACAGACAGTGGTGCCAGGTGGGTCCTCCCAGCTTTGTCTCAGGCATCAGGGGCAGCCTTGAGCAAAGGTGGACCTCTAGGTGCCTCTGGGCCATCTGCACCCCAGCAGCCCCCTGGCTGGGAATCAGCAGAGCAGGAGCCCAGTCATGGCGCTGCCAGCAGTTAGCTGGCTGCCTGGGCAAGTCACCTACCTGGCTTCCACCTCAAGACCTGTAAACCACTCTCTCTGGATCGCCAGCCTGACCCAGAGGTTCATAAACATACGATTCCTACATTATACGATCATGGTTCTAGGAGCATTTTGATAAAGTCCTGCAGAGCAGTCCTGTTGTTAAGTTTGGGGACTATGATGTGGTCTCTCACTTGTCAAATAGAAGAAGTACTGGATTAAAACTGGTGTCCAAATTGTTGGTTTCAACTTAGAGGAAGTGGGCGGGGACAAGGTACCATAACTGACATCTCAGGAAGACCTGCTGTGGGTTCAGCACTGAGTGTCTTTACTGAGAATGAGGACGAAGGATCAGGAGTGTTTTCTAATCCTTAGAGGACACTGAATCAGAGGAGCTTAGTGCTCTGAAAGAGACAACAGAATCTATCATGACAGTGACAATTTGAGTAAACAGCATAGCTGAGGAGAGAGAAACACAGTTATTCAAAGGTGCAGGAATGAAGTACACAGAGATGGTCAAATGCCTAAGAATAAAAGTGAGGTCCCTGCTATTTAGAGGCCAGAGAGCCCTCGCCTGATGCCCAGAACTAAGAGGTGGACAGCTGAGAGCAAAGGGTCTTATGTCTTCCAGCTGCAAACATCACTTTGGTAAGGGTTAGCTAGCTAGCTTAATTAGGCAGAGAGGAAGGGAGGGTCCAGGGAGGATGGAGGCATTTCTGGCCTGAGCAATTAAAAAAGCCATAAACCAAGGAGAGAGGTATCTCTGGCCTGAGCAGCTGGGAGAGCCATAGGGGTAATAAAACATCTCTGGCCAAGACAACTAAGAGAGAGCCATAAGGGAGATCAAAAGCAACTCCATCCTGAAGAGATTAGATGGATAATGTTGCAAAATAAGGAGGAGAAAATGGGGGGGAGGCACGTGGGCTTTAGACTTTAAAACTAATACTATGTAGAAGAATGACCAATGAGGAAAGCCGGGGGTCTTAAATTAAGGAAAGGGTCCAATTGTTAAGGGTCAGATTCAAACAAAGAACTACAACATATATAAACCAGAGACAAAGGGACATGAGACAGATTTTAGATTTTTGGACTTAGATTTTTCCCATCAGAGAGAGAGAGAGAGAGAGAGCGAGTGAGCATTTTTTCCCCATTTGAGGGCCCCTCCGCAGGGGGTCCCCTTTGGGGATTCTTGCCCAGATGGAGTTTGTATATGCTTCCAATAAGTTTCCTCATTTTTATCAAAGAAATCTGCTAGTCCACGAATTTATTCAACTTCGCCGGACAAGAATCCACAAGAACTCTGCACCCTGAACCCCACGTTTCAATTTGATGGTGTAGCATCACCGGCCTCTCCTGACTGACTCGAGGTCAGGTCCGCCAGCTTAATTCCCCATCTCTATTCCTAGCTGTCCACAAAAGTACTCGCCCCTACTATCTGTATAACACAATGTAAACTCTTCTACCCACTGATCATAATGTCCGGGGGAAGGGAGGAGGCAAGAACTATTGTGCATCACGCCCAGTTTACAGATGATGAAATTAAGGTGAGGGAGCAAAGCCGGGACCCAGGCATCCTGATTCCTAGCCTAGTGCTGCTCTGTGTCACCGTGGCCTGTCTGCCCAGCTCTGAGACCTCAGATACGCTGTTCGATGGTGACTGGCAGGGGTGGGGCAGGAGAGTGTCCCACCAGCCCCAAAGCTCTGTTCACACACAGTGCTGCCTCACGGAGCGTGTGCCCTGGTGGCCACTTGCAATGCTGTCAGATACAAACTCCACTATTTATCTGAGGAATGAGTTTTAAATGTGGCAGATACGCGCCCCGAGTGATAGCAGTCACGCCAGGAGAACATTCCAGATCCTTCCGTGGATGCTGAATGTTGGGGCAGAATGGGAGGCCCTTCCAGCACCACCATTGCTGTGGGAGCTGAGGATGCAGTGGGGAGCTGGGGGTGCAGTGGTGACCTGGGAGTGCAGTGTTGACCTGGGGGTGCCATGGAGAGCTGGGGTACAGTGGTGACTTGGGGGTGCTATGGGGAGCTGGGGTATAGTGGGGAGCTGGGGGTGCAGAGGGGAGCTGGGATACAGTGGGGAGCTGGGGTTGCAGAGGGGAGCTGGGGGTGCAGAGGGGACCTGGGGGTGCAGAGGGGATCTGGGGTATAGTGAGGAGCTGGGGGTGCAGAGGGGAGCTGGGGTGCAGAGGGGAGCTGGGGGTGCAGAGGGGATCTGGGGTATAGTGAGGAGCTGGGGGTGCAGAGGGGAGCTGGGGTGCAGAGGGGAGCTGGGGGTGCAGTGGGGACCTGGGGGTATAGTGGGGAGCTGGGGTGCAGTGGGGACCTGGGGGTGCAGAGGGGAGCTAAGGAGTACCTGAAAACCCTTTCAGGAACCCATCCCATCCAGTCCCAGGAAGTGACATGAATTGCCACCACCACCCTCCCTGGTAGACAGAGGACTCTAGACATGTTCCTTGGGTCTTTACCCCGGACACGAAGGTGTTTCCCGTTTCTGAGGGCGCCAGGTCCAAGCAGAGCACGTCGGCCCCGTGCCCGTGGAAGCTCTGCAGCAGCTGCCCGCTCTCCACGTCCCACAGGGCGCATGTCCCGTCGCCGCTCGCCGTCAGGATCTGATGTGGGAAAGGACAGGAAGAGTGTGTGGTCATTATTAGTTCTGTGAGGGGCAAGGCCGTCAGGGAAAAGAGGCTCCCACACATACACACACACACACGCACACGCACACACACACACACACCTGACACCCTGTCACTGAGCTGCGTTCCTGTGCCTGTCCTCCAGCGTACGGATCCAGAGGCCTCCCTGCTGTACCCGCGGGGCTCTCTATTGCCTGGCATGCACGACTCTGTGAACGTTTGCTGAACAAAACTGTGACTGGCTCCCACAAGCAGGCTCGCTCACGGTTGTACAGGCCAGACTGGAAAAGTGCTCCTCGGACATTAAGGAGCATCCCAGTCACCAGCTGCCCATTATAGAGTGTGGGGCGAGTCCCGAGATTCTGCAGTTCTCACAAGCTCCCGGCGCTGCCGACGCTGGTCACTGGACCCCATCTGCAGCAGCAGGGGTCGAGAAAGCATTTTGTTAGACACCCTCCTATTGCTGCTTCTCCCAGGTCAGGGTGCTCCCCAGAGGCTCCGGGCCACTGAGAGGTGCCGACACTCGTGCGCGCACAGTGCCGACAAGCACTGGTCATGTGCTGATGACGTCCCAGCGCTCTGCCAGGGTTAGGGTTTGCAGGAGGATTGGGTCTTGGCCTCCACTCTCCTGAAGCTCGCTCAGTTTAACAGGATTGGCTGTCAAGGCAGAAACCAACCTAATCCCCTGTCTCCGTATTAATCAGTTCTGGGACCAGGCTTACTCTCTTGATGCTGTGCTAAACAACACTGTGACCAAGCAAAAATAACCTACCTGCTTGCTCTAGTAATACTGCTCCTGCAAAATAAGACTGTGAACCAAGTAAACAACGTATCAAGACTAACTGCTTGCTCATCAAGACGGGCTTTAAGGCCCTTATCTCGCTGGGCTCACCAATCCAAAGCTATTATATCGTCAACCAGTTTCTCATTGTGAGAGGTCCACCTTAAAACCACCCAGTGCAGTATCTGAAACCCTCCAAGCAGCCTTCCCTGCTTCCTCCACCTTAAGGCCTATAGAGATTCTCAGGTTGGGGTTCCCTCCCTCACTGCAGTAGGTCTAAGGAACTTAGCATTGCTGAACGGGGTCTTGTAGACAAGACATTGATCACTATGACAGAGTGTGAGAAGTGCTGAGAAACAGGTGGGCCCACGGGAGGGGCACCAAATGCACCCTGGGGGCATCTGAGCTGGTCTTAGAGGATGAGTGACAGCTGGCCAGGTGAAGGAGGGAGGGCGCTGCAGTGACCGCCTACCTCTGCACTGGATGAAAGGTGTGTCTGTGGAGAGTGAAGACTCCAGTCTGCAGACAAAAAGAAGCTATGGAAAGCTTCCAAGCAGAATGATAAGATTAGGGTATATTTTCGGAGACTCTGTCAGCTCAGTGCCACAATCCCTCAGTAAAGGCTGGCCCACACAGGGAGAGGAACGCTGGGTCGCCTGGGGAAAGGCATGGGGGCAGAGCCAGTGCATGAGGCTTGGCTCCGGCCGAGCATACCTTCGTGGGGTTGGGAGAAAGGCAGTGGGATCCAGGGCTCCCAGACCCAGCTGACGGCACCACAGCACCCTAGAGCCAGGAGAAGCCATGGGGGGATGACAAGCCATAGCAGA